ATCGCAGAGGTGGCCGTCGGCGAGCTCGGCAACTCGGGCAAGCTGGCGGGCGATCGTCATTGGCGCGACGCCGCGATGGCGAGCCTCGAGGGCTCCGACCACGCGGGCGACGGCGCCGAGATCGCAGGCCTCGAGGGCTCCGGCGAGGGCGACGGCGCCGAGATCGCGGGCCTCGAGGGCTCCGGCGACGCGAAGGACGGCGCCGAGATCGTAGAGCTCAAGGGCGCCGGCGACGCGAAGGACGGCACCGAGATCGCGGACCTCCAGGGCTCCGGCGACGCGAAGGACGGCGCCGAGATCGCAGAGCTCAAGGGCGCCGGCGACGCGAAGGACGGCGCCGAGATCGCGGACCTCGAGGGCTCCGGCGACGCGAAGGACGGCACCGAGATCGCGGACCTCGAGGGCTCCGGCGACACGGAGGGCGGCGCCGAGATCGCGGGCATCGAGGGCTCCGGCGACGCGAAGGACTGCACCGAGATCGCAGACCTCGAGGGCTCCAGCCACACGGAGGGCGGCGCCGAGATCGCGGGCATCGGGGGCTCCGGCGACGCGGAGGACTGCGTCGCGATCGCGGGCCTCGAGGGCCCCGGCGACGCGGGCGAGATCGCGGGCCTCGAGGGCTCCGGCGGCGGCGCCGAGGTCGCGGGCCTCGACGGCTCTGGCGGCGCAGAGGTCGCGGGCCCGCTGGACTATAGTCGTCGTCGTCGTCCTCCTCCTCCTCCTCCTCCTTCTCCTCGTCCTCCTCCTCCTCCTCCTCCTCCTCGTCCTCCTCCTCCTCCTCCCCTCCCTCCTCCTGCTCCTCCTCCTCATCGTCCGCGTTGTCGTCGCCCTCCTCCTCCTCCTCCTCATCCTCCTCCTCTCCTCCTCCTCCTCGTCCTCCTCCTCCCCTCCCTCCTCCTGCTCCTCCTCCTCATCGTCCGCGTTGTCGTCGCCCTCCTCCTCCTCCTCCTCCTGCCCAGGGGCCTGGCGACGACGACGACGACGTCCAGATCGTCGGCGAAACGGGCGCGCCGGCGGAGCCGCCGCAGGCCGCCCACCCCGCGGTGGTGCTGTTGGCGAGCAGCTTCATACAGGACTTCCCGTACGAGACGTGCGCGTGGTGCGGCGAGGGCTTCTGCGCGAGTGACAAGGTCGTCGTGACTGCGACGAACAACACGCACCTCGAGTGCAGCACCATGATTCACGCGCAGGACCTCGACGTGATCAACGCCATGTCCGAGCCTGCGACGCCAGAGCGCAGCGATGTCCAGAAGCAGCTGGAGACTGTCGAGTCATCCTCGCGCTACTCGGAGACGAGGGGGGGGCGGAGGAGGAGGAGGAGGAGGAGGCCAGACGAATGAGGTTGGGGGGGGGGAGGCCAGAAGGGGGAGGGATGGAGGGGAAGGGGAGGGGGGCGAGGAGGAGATGGAGGAGGGGGGAATGAGGGAATGGGGTGATGGAGGGAAGGGAGGAGGAGGAGGAGGAGGAGGAGGAGGAGGGGGAGGAGGAGGAGGAGGAGGAGGAGGAGGAGGAGGAGGGGGAGGAGGAGGAGGAGGAGGGAAGGGGGAAGGGGGAAGGGGGAAGGTGAGGAGGAGGAGGAGGAGGAGGAGGAGGAGGAGGAGGAGGAGGAGGAGTGCTTCGCAGGAGCTCATGTTCGCCCAGGCCCTGGAGTTCGCTGACACCGTGCCCGCCGCGCGCCCGAACGACGACAAACAGGGCGAGGATGAGGAGGGCGGCGGCGCCGCCAAGTCCCAGAGCGGCGGCGGCAAGGCCTCGGCGGCTGCAGTGGCAGCAGCGGGGGCCGCGGCTGCGGCGGCAGTCCGCTCGTCCGCCGAGGGGCCGGAGGTCGTGGCGGAGGCAGCTGCAGGCGACGGCGGCAAGAGTTCAGAGAAGACGAAACGCCTGCTGCAGAAGAAAGAGGACCGCATCGGAGAGATCCAGCAGGCGCTGCCTGACTTGCTGAAGTACCGCATGAATCCTCATTGCAACACGTGGACAATCACGAAGGATAGAAAGGGAATCAATGGGGAGGGGGAAGGAAACGAGGGCGGGGGAAAGGGGTGGGAAGGGGGGGGAGGTAGAGGAGGAGGGGGCAGGGAGGGGGACTGGACGGGGGGTCCGAGAATCAGAGGGGCCCGAGTCGTTCGGGCCCCCCCCCATCCTCCTCCACCCTCCTCCTCCTCCTCCTCCTCCTCCTCCTCGCCCCTCATCACCTCCTGGTCCCTTTTGTTTTTGTTGACCCACCCGAGAGTAAAAACAGTGAGCAGGGTAGGCAACGTTGGGGGGCACTGCCTCGGGATCCACCGCAGGAGGGCTTCGACCAGGCGCGCATCCAGGTGAACGTCGACCCGAGCAAGGGCGCGCACTTTTGGGTGGCAGGCGACGTGACGGACCCGAAGAACAGGTCGCACCCTTGGATCAAGTGCGGTGGGCTCGTGGCGGCTTGGGAGTCAGCGCAGGCGGCCGCCGGGTGGGGGGAGTGAGCTACCTTTGCAAGTTATCTATATGCATTTATATAGATGTTGCTTTCAACTTAGATGGAACGCACGTGCTGCCGCCTCGTGTTTTCGGCCGTGCGCCGCTTTCGGCCCATGAGGGCCACGGGGTTGAAATGCCGCGCGGACGTTCCCTCTGGCGCGGCCGCGCAGTCAGAGCCGCACGTGCACCAGGGGGCCCTTCGGCGGGATTCGCTCAGGGAGAAGCGTCTCTCGCCTCTCTCTCGAACGTCGGTCGCCTCCTCGCCCGTGCAGTCTTGCGAGCGAGCGGCCCGTCGTGGCCAATGGCCCCATTGAGGCCCTCGGCCCCTGCGCGGCCCCTTAAGACCCTCGGCCCCTTCGTGGCCCAGTAAGACCCTCGGCCCCTACGCGGGCCCTCGAGCCCCTCGGCCCCTACGCGGCCCCCTAGGACCCTCGGCCCCCACGCGGCCCCTCAGGGATCAGGAGCAGCAGGAGTCGGGGAAGGTTCAGGATCAGGCGTTAAGAGACCATGCACCCAAGCACCTCCGCATTCAATCGTCACCGAACCCCGAACTGGCCGCCGCGCGGAACGACAGGATGAAATCTGGTGCTTGGTATGGCTTGGCGCGGTTCGAACATCATTGCGAGGGTCGCATGGTATCCTCTGCGAACAGCGGCCCTGGCTCCCTCCTCGAATCCATCCTCGTGCATTTCTGCCCCAGTCCCCTCCCCTACCTCCTCCTATCACCCCTGTCCTCTCCCGCCCTCCCCCCTCCTCTTGGCATCTCACCGTCAGCCAGCGTTGCATGCTCAGGCGTAACGCTCTTGCGCGTCACTTCGTCAGTGGGTCGCGCGATGCTCGCTTCGAATGTCCTGCGGCCTATCTTGCTAGCGGCGTGCTGCTTGGGCCCTGCTGGTGAGTGGGATCTGCCCGACCGCACTTTCGATTTCGTGGAGGTGTTCGCCGGCGAGAAGGCTGTGACACATGGTTTGCGACATCTTGGCTTCCGCGGGATTGCAGTGGATCTCCTGGACAACCCGTTCCACGACATTGCAGAGCCCGGCGGTTACCTGATGTGCGTGCGAGCGGTCCTGACCATGAAAGCTGGAGCGTTGTTATTCTTAGCTCCGCCATGCGCTACATGGGTCTGGATGAGCAGGAACTCCACTGGTCGTTCATCTGACCAGCCGCAGGGCGGCGGGCGAGCAGCAGGCTTGGCGAACATCCTGGTGGCGCGAGTGTGCTACCTCATTGCGCTCGCATCTACCCTCGGGGTGCGCGTGGTCGTGGAGCAGCCGTCATCGAGCATGTTATGGGAGTTCCCTATTGTGCAGGCTGTATCTCGCTGGTTGTCGTTTGAGTTCGTCTCCGCCGACATGGGCGTCTATGGGGCCGCTACGCAGAAAACATTGACGTTCGGCGGCACGCTCCCACGCATCGCTTCGCTCTTCGCCCGGGCTGGGCCGAGTGACAGGGATCGCTTCAGGCTCGAGGCCGAGTCGAGCGGCCTCGCGTTGCACATCAGCGACGTGGGCGCCGACGGGAAGAGGAAAACTTATGGCGGTCCTGGTTTGACCGTCAGCGCGGCCTATCCCATCGGTTTCGGCTGCGCCCTCGCACGGATCTTCCACGACTCTTACGGCCCGCCGCGCGAGGAGGCGCAGGCAGCTTGGAGCAGGCCTGACATGGAGTCCCTGGTCATCAACATCTCTATTGATGCTGGCGAATGCTTCGAAGATTTCAGCGCGTGGAGGCCATCCGCGTGAGGGCCCGATCTGCGCGCGGCTGCCAGGCCGTGCCGCTCGCGCACGCACTCACTTTCTCTTCTCTCTATGTATATATATATATACTTTCTCAACGACCCCATCCAATAAAATCCCCGCCCGACCTCCCCGCCCACTCCTGGCTCGCCCTCCTGCCCCCTCCTCCCGCTCCCTCTCCATCCCCCCGCTCTGACCCGTCGTGCAGCCGACGCAGCGGTGCGCGAGCGTCCTTTCCCGCTGCTGTAGCTCTTGACCTGGTCCTTGACCTGGTCCTCGGCTGGTCCTCGGGGCGCGCGAGCAAGATAATGACACGGCGCTGATGCGTCGTATTCGTCGTCGTCTGTCTCGTCGTCGTCGTCGTCCTCCTCCTCCTCCTCCCCCTCCTCCTCCTCCTCCCCCTCCGCCTCCTCCTCCTCCTCCTCCTCCTCCTCCTCCTCGTGCTCCTCGTTCTCCTCCCCCTCCTCCTCCTTCTCCTCCAGCAGGGAGCGGGAGCTATCATGGGGGATGGAGGGCGAGGGGCGGGGCCCCCGCGACGCCCGCCGCGGCCCCTCCTGCCGATCGACATCAGAGGTGCGCCCCAGCACGCCGCCAGCGCGCGCGCGGGCTCGCGTCGCCCCTCTGCGCCGCCGCTGCATCCGAGATCCCATCTTGTTTGATTTCAGGTCAGGGTGCTCCAGGGTGGTGGCGGGGAAAGCCTTTCCACTCCTGTCCCTCCGCATCTTTTCACCCCTTTGCTCAGACGCGGGGGAGTGCGATGGCGCGAGGGGCGGGGGGGGGGGCGAGGGTGAACTTACCCTGCCAGCACCCTGGGCAGGAGCATCCTAATTCAAACATGTTTAGCTCTAAGTTCAGCCTGGCCATCGGATGAGGTCCGCCCTTCTATATCCTGTCCTCATCTTTCTGCCATCTTCCGCTCCGAGGCAAGACTGCGGGCTCGTTTTTTCTGATATCCGCATCGCCGAACTCGCCCGAACTACCGGGTAATTTGTCCCAAATTACTCGGTCGAGTAATTTGTGGTGTGAGAAACCCTGTAAAAAACAACTAAAACTGAATTACTCGTAAATTACTCGCCGAGTAATTTTCGAGTAATTTGATCAAATTACTCGGCGAGTAATTGAGCATCGGCTATCCATCAGCACTTGCACATTCACATCGGCAAGCCATCCAGAGCTGTACTTTTGCATCGGTGAGCTGTGCAAACTGACATCGGCGAGCGATGAGACGGCGCCAGCGATCGATAAGCCTGAGCGCACAACGCCCTGACCCCATGGGATACGAATTATTGCTGATGCCGCCTGGCATAAACCATTCCTTCCTACCTCTTGTTCTGCTTATGCTCGCTACCGTCTCCGCATTTCGCCCCTTCCCCCTCCTCCCCTCTCCGCTCCCCCTCCCGCCTGCCCACCGTCATCTCCGCCTCCTCCTCCACTTCCCCCCCATCCCTCATCCTCGACGCCGAGCCTGGGCCGCCCCCGCGCGCGCTGGGATAACCGCGCTTCTCGCGGCCTGCAAGCCATATAGGCGCCTGTCTCTGGTGGGCGGCGCAAGGTCGCGAAGATAGACGCGCCTCGCATCGGCGTGTCGGTAACTTAGCTGGCGCGCCTCGCCGCGGTGCGAGGGGTGAGACGAGGGCGCGAAGGTAATTTAGTTGGTTCATCCGTGCCCCGTTGCATTGCGGGGCGAGCCTTGAAAGGGCCACGCCCGCTCGCTCCCCTCGCCTCCTGGTCGACGCCGTTTGGGCCTAGACTTACTCCAGGAAGTGCCCGCGACATAGCCTCCGCCAGCAGCTCGGTCGCGCGGGCGACGATGCCCTCGCAGACGTTGCTGTTCCAGTATGCGAAGTCGTGGGCACAGGCCGTGAAGCGCGAGGCCGCTGAGAGAGGCGACGCGCCGAGTGATGCTGCTGCGGCCCCAGCCGCCAAGAGGTCGAGGCGCGCGGCGAGCGCCCAGCCAGTCACGCCTGCCGCCGCGAGCGGTGGAGGCATCATCGCGGCGAAGGCCGAGGCAGCATCGGCAGCGTCGGGTAGTGGAGGCAGCTTCGCTGCGAAGGTCGAGGTCTCCGTCA